TTTTTCCATTTCCTTTCTTTTGTTCTTTCCTTTCAGGATTTTGGTTTAGATCTAGCTTTTTGCATTGTCTAGATCTACCATTTCTTTCTAGCTTTTTGTCATTTCTCTTCTTTTGCTCTTTCTTTCTCATTCATTTTCATGGCCGATCCGCAATCTCCTCCTTTGACTCTAGAGCAGCAGTTGGTTCAATTGCTTGATGCTATGCGCCTGCAATTGAACAACAAAACTCAGTTGATGGCGGCGTTCACGGCACATGGTACAACTCCTCCTGCTTTTGGTGCCAATCCTCGCGTTCGGCCGGAGTTCTTTCGTGGGAATCCTGGGGATGATGTGTACCATTGGTTCGATCACTTCACGGTGATTGCCACATATCATTCTTGGGATGATGCTCGGCGTTTGCGTGAGTTCCCCACATGTCTTCAAGGGACGGCATTGCAGTGGTACAATGGATTGAGCGCAGCTACTCGTGGCGATTGGAGTGTTCTTCCGGACGTCTTCAAACGCGCCTTCGGACACGCCGACGATTGTGATGATGCCTTCCAACAATTGCATCGTCTTCGCCAAGGGCCATCTGAGTCGGTGATGCAATTTGGCGTTCGTTTCCGAAGTCTTTTGCTTCGTGCGGAGCCAAATATGTCGGAGCGGATCAAGCTAGGAATGCTGTGGCCAGCACTTCGTCAAGATCTTGTCGGACTTGTGCATGCACTTGCTCCTGCCACTCTTGACGATGCTCTTCGCTTGGCACAACGTTATGAGACGTCGCCTCTTCCACTTCTTGCTACACGTCCTTCAGCTCCACTTCCTATGAGTGATGGTCCTGTTCCCATGGAGGTTGATGCTGCTGCTACTCAAGTCCAAGGACAAGGGCGAGGACGTGGTCGTGGCCGTGACATTCGTTGCTGGGCGTGTGATGAAGTTGTTCATACTTATCGGCGTTGTCGGCGCTTTCCGGATTGGCGACCTCCATTTCCTGGGTGGAGACCTTGGCGTCAGCAACGTCCCGTTGGTGCTGCTGCGGTGGAAGGTTTGGATACCGAGGTGCATTCGGGAAATGAGGAGTCGCGCGAGTAATGGAGCGACCTTGCGCGAATAAGTTAGTGACCCCTCCATCTTTCTTTCGGGAGTATCATCAAGGGGTTCACTCGGCACCGGTTCATCCAGTGTTTACTTTCCAAGCTCGTTTTTATAACAAGAGGTCTCCTATTCTTCTCTCCGTGTTGGTTGATACAGGTTCGAGTTTATCTTCTATTGCTCGACCTGTTGCCACACGTTGTCGTCTACACTTGCGTCGTGCGGCGGATCCAGTTTTCATTCTTTATGGCAACGGCCGTACACATGCATGTGCACGAGATGAGGCGGACCTGGTTGTGCGTGTGGGCGATCTCGAGCTTGAGTTGCAGTCGTTGCGGGTGGTGCCGAGTCAAGCTTTTGACCTCATTCTTGGTATGGATTGGTTGCAGCACAATCATGCCAAGTGTGACTTTGAGGTTTTTCCCCCTTGTCTCATACTTCCTTATGTTTCATCCATTCCTCTCACTTCTGTACCTCTTCGTCCCTCTACTTCTACCTCTGCTTCCATTACTTTTGTTCCCCCATTATTTCCTCTTGTGTTTCCATCTTGTTCTGCTCTTCCCTTTTCCGATCCCTCCGATGATCTTTGTGTTGCAGCTGTTGATCAGCTCATGAAGGAGTATTCTGATCTCTTTGAATTTGACCTATCGTCTGGGGCCAAGATTGCCACACGTCATCCCATTCCAACCGGGGATGCTCGTCCAATCAAGGTTCCTGTTCGTCGTCGGTCACCCAAGGAGATCAAGATTTTACGTGCAAACGTCAAGGAGATGTTGGAGAAGGGTGTTATTCGGAAGTCGCGGAGTCCTTGGGCATGTGAACCTCATCTTGTGACGAAGCCTGATGGGAGTATTCGTTTCTGCATCGACTATCGTCCGTTAAATGAAGTGACGATCCCGGACGTGTACCCTCTTCCTCACACTGCTGATCTCTTGGATCGTCTGGGGCGAAGTCGTTGGTTCACCAAGCTAGATCTTGCTTCTGGGTATTGGCAAGTACTGATGGCTGAAGACGATATTCCTAAGACTGCTTTTCGTACACCATTTGGTTTGTACGAGTTTTTGGTGATGCCGTTTGGTTTGAACAATGCTCCAGCAAATTTTCAGCGAATGATGGACGAGGTTCTTTGCGATATGCCAGAGGTGACGGCTGACTTCATTGATGATGTCTTGATCCACTCGGAGGGGACGTGGGAGGAGCATGTTCGTGATGTTTGTAAAGTGTTGGATCGGCTACGCGACGTTGGTTTAAAGCTGAAGCGGTCGAAGTGCGTGTTTGGGTCCAAGGACACAACTTATCTTGGGTACCATATTTCTCGTGAGGGTTTGCAAGTTGATCCTGACAAACTTGTGGCTGTTCTAAAGTTCCCTACTCCGAAGTGTGTGAATGATGTGCAGCGCTTTTTGGGTAAGGTGCAGTATCTCGGTCGTTTTGTGGATCATCTTTCCGATCGCACTTTACCATTGCGAGCGTTGCTGAAGTCATCAACGTCATCTTTCATCTGGTCTCCCGATTGTGAGCGGGTGTTCGTGAATCTCAAAGAGCTATTGACAACTCCTCCGGTTTTGGCATATCCTGACTACACTCGACCTTTTATTTTGCGCGTGGATGCTTCTGACATTGGTCTTGGAGGTGTGTTGATGCAAGAGAGCTCGAGTGTGCCTGGTCAGCGCCATCCCATTGCATACATAAGCCGTACATTACAACCAGCGGAGATGAACTACTCCACGACGGAGAAGGAGTGTTTAGCAGCAGTCTGGGGTTTCGAGAAACTTCATGCCTATCTACATGGTTCTCGGACGTTACTTGAAGGTGACCATGCTGCTGTTACTTCATTATTGAAGCGGAAGAACCTGGTTGGTCGTACGGCTCGATGGGCTTTGAAGCTTCAGATATATGATTTCGATGTTGTTCATCGCCCAGGGAGTTCTATGGCTGATGCTGATGCCCTTTCTCGAGCTCCTCTTCCTTCTCCACTCACTTCTCATGTTTCTGATGAACCTGTTGTTCCAGCATCTGTGGATTTTCTAGATGAGGATTCTGTACCGTCGGCGGTTGCTGTCCTTGACGTTCAGTGTCCACAGGGCGTAGAGCAAGATCTACCTTCTCTGGATGAGGTTCGCGAGGCTCAAAAGATTGAGCCGTGGATTCGAAGGCTTCGAGATGGGTTTGAGAATCCTGCATCACTTGCTGATGACTTGCCTTTTTGGCATTTACATTCTCAATATCGCCTTGAAGATGGCCTTCTTTATTTTGTGGGGACGGATCCTGATGCTCATTTACGGCTGGTGGTGCCTTCGGTGTTTATTCCGCGGTTTCTCCATGCCTACCATGATTCTCCTATTCTAGGTGGGCATATGGGACACCGTCGTGTCACCGAGAAGTTGCGCAGATCTTTCTATTGGCCAGAGATGCGACGTGATATTATCCGGTATGTGTGTAGCTGCGTTTGGTGCCAAGCTCGTAATACTCCCCCTTGTGCTGCGGAAGGACGGTTGGAGTCAATTGCAGTTTCTCGTCCGTTTGAGTTGGTGGCGTTTGATCTTATGGGACCTTTTCCGCGATCGACTGCTGGCAATGAGTATGTTATTATTGCTTCTGACTACTTGACTCGTTGGGTGGAAGTTGGTGCTCTTGCTAGTGCCTCTGCAACTGCTGTTGGATACTTCCTCCTCAATCGAGTGGTGTTCCAGCATTCTTGTCCAGAACGGATTCTTTCGGATAATGGTCCTGCATTTATGGCTGAGGTATTTCATGTTTTGACATCTCGGTTGGGGATACGCCACACTTTTACGAGTGCTTATCATCCACAATCAGACGGTCTGGTGGAACGGCTCGTTCGGACATTCAAAGGGATGATTGCGAAGTATGTGAACTTTCAACATTCGGATTGGGATGGTTATTTGCCGTCTCTTCGGTATGCTTATGTCACAGGGGTGCAGAGTTCTGTTGGTGCTTCACCATATAAACTTCTATATGGTCATGATCCAATATTACCAACAGAGCTAGGTTTACCTTCGCGATTGCCACGAGCTCCTGATGCTAGGTCATGGGATCAATATTTGACAAGCATTCTTCCACTTGTCCGAGCAGAGTCTGCTGAACACTTAGGCCGCGTACAAGTGGGACAACAACGGCGCTACAATTCCCATCATCGTCCACCAGCGGAGTACAAAGTGGATGATTTGGTGTTAGTCTGTTTTCCCCATCTTACGGTACGTGGTTTATCTAAGGGGCTCCTTGCGCAGTGGAAAGGACCATATCGGGTGTTGCGGCAAGTTGGACCACAAGTTTATGAGGTTCGGCATGACGTTCAGCAGGCTGATCCTCCAGAGATTGTGCATGTGCAGCGGTTAAAACGCTTCATACAGAGGGATCAGGAGCAGTTAATACCGTCTACAGATCCACCAATGCCTCCTCCTGACGTTCCTCCAGATCCCGGCCCATCTACAAGAGAACCCTGACGGCCTTCCATTATTCCGAAAGGAGGGGATGATGTGAGGGCCAAGTGTACGGCTACGATGCCGTATACTAATATTAGCGTAGTGGATTTTGGTAGCCGTCGAATTGGTTTCAATCCGGACCACTCGCTCCTGTATATAAGCTAGGGTTTTTGGGTTAATTGATATGCACATTTCTGTATTCCCTTTCCATATTCCATGCACTCACAATATAATTATTTTTATAAAGTCTAGAAAAATATATAAATAATTAAATTCTTTATAATAATTGTTTTATTAATGATAGCATAAGGTATTTTCTATATTTTCTTTTTCAAAGTTAAATTTTTATCTAAAAATCTATTATGTAGTTTTTATTTTCAAAATGCCTTAAAAAAAATTTTATTTTTATTATATACTAAAAAACATATTTTAAACTAATATCAAATACCTAAGTTGGATTTTAGGGCTCTTGGGGAAGGGGCAGAAATGCGGCCCAAGAGGTATGGCGACATGGTCCGGCGGCTGGGCAAGGCGGGCAGCGAGGTGAAGGTGCGCTCCTTCATGGAGCCGTCGCGCGTGGAGCCCGGCATCGGGGTAAACATCTGGCAGGTGCTCAAGGCGCGCATGTACAAGCTCGCCCACGCCGACGTCCACGGCGATCCCACATTCCAGATGCCCCTCAGCGACGCCAAGTCCCACCTCATGGCGCAGAACTACCTCCTCCACCACTACGCCGTCCGCAACAACCTCGACCTCTCCGTGGTCAAGGACGTGCTCCTCCCGCCGCCGGAGCTCCTCAACGCGCAGCCCCCGCCGCCCGTCAAGGACGACCTCTACAAGGGCCTGCCCGTCTTTGACGGCCCCGTGCCCGTCGTGTGCCCGCGCCCCGACCACGGCAAGGAGCTCAAGGTGACCGTCTACGACCAGCTCGACGTCAAGCAGATGGTCGGGGTGGCCATGCCCATGGCGTACATTCCCATCGGGGTGTTGATCCATGGGATTGAGATGCGTCCTGGGCAGGGCGCCAAGCTCGTCCGGGCCAAGGGGACGTTCGCCAAGATCACCAAGAAGCGGACGGACAAGCCGCGGGTGGCGGTGAGGATGCCGTCCGGGAAGGAGAAGATCTTCGACTCGCGGTGCCGGGCGGTGATCGGGCCGCTCACCAATCCGAATATCGTCAAGCCCAAGATGTACAAGGCGGGGCAGAACCGGTGGAAGGGTGTCCGGCCGCATGTCCGAGGGATTGCCAAGAACCCCGTGGATCATCCCCATGGCGGGCGGACCAACGGGGGACGGCCCTCGGTGACGCCGTGGGGGAAGCCTTGCAAGTGTGGGTATAAGACGGTGAGAAAGAGGAAGCCCGGGCTCAAATATTGAGCATGGTTGTTACTTTGATCGATCGAACTTTGCTGGAGAGGTACCGCTTTTAGGATCAATGACCAAATCAAGTTCGTTGGCGACTTTAATGACCAAGTTCTTCCAAGTTCGTGCGGCGACTTGTAACCAAGTTCTCGAAGTTCCAGAATAACAAGTCCAGGCTCGAAGTTCATGTGTTTGGGGAAAGGAACTGAGGACGTTTTCCAATGGAGTTTCGCAAAATACTGACGAGCTTTTCGAGAGAAGGAGTGGATGCAAGTTTTCCAAAGGGGACAGGATCAAAGGTGAGCTCCCTTGAGCAAGATTAAATGTGGACCCAAGGTTAGCAAATTTTATAATTTTATAAAAGTTCCATTAAGTTTTATCTTGTTTGTTATAAGTTATTTAGTAACATAACTAAACTATTTCCACTATACGAAACTATTTATGATTTATGTAAATATAATATTATGATTTAACTCAACATACCTTTAAATAAATTACTTTTATTATACTTACTATTTGTGTCTACTTTGCTCATATGACAATAACTTAAGATATTAAATAAATTAGTAATTTTATAATTTTAAGATATATCATAAAATAGTAACAAACTATTGACTTAATTGTAATAATGTGTAATGATAATTGAATCATTTTTCTAAGCTCAAAAGAAATAAATTAATTTAGAGTACTTTTGAATTATAAAGTTAAAATGGTTTTTTGAAATCTTTTATTTATTTTTTAGTCTTTTGTAACTAACTCTTTACCCATCTCCTCATCATTAATGTGTAAATATTTCAGATTGTTGTCCTTGTCAAAATCAATTTTATTATTAAAATGGAAGCATTTAAAGTTATCACTGACTTTTCTTTTAATTGAACTCCTTAAACAATAGAATAACTTTATTTTTTTAAGACATTTTTATCTCAAAAGTTTATTGTTTACTAATCCCAAGAACTTTATTTGTAGAATTTGAAACACTATAAAGTTCTTTCAATATTTATTCAAATCTAAATCAAAATAAGTTAGTCTTCAAACTTAAAGAAAAAGATACTTTACTTTTTTATCATTTTAAATGAATAATCTTTTTCTATATAGAATAAAATAAAGTATTTTATTTTTCCTGGAATATTTATTACCATTATAAATTATCCAACAAAATAAACTACAAGATAATAGTAAAAAGCATAATAATGTTTATGTATACAACATATACTCTCAATACTCTCGTCAATGTGGGTAGTATTGTTCTTTCTTTTATATATGTTATAATTCATTTTGCTCCTAAATATTAATATTCCTCTCAATTAAACTACCCCTTAATCTAAAGTAATTGGTAGAAAACGAAAGAACATAAAATTAAGGATTAAAAAAAGGATATATGTGAATTATGAATAGAAGTTTAAATATTCCTCTCCTTTCTACGATTTACAATTTGTTATCAGAGAAGAAAATTCTTTTCTATCCATTCTTTGTCTTGATTTTTATTTGTTGTCTATCTCCTAATAAAGCCCTAAAGATCCAAGGTGTCAATATGTTTCTTCCAGAATTCTCAATGGATTGGTAATGGGAGTGAAAGAAGATGAGGAGCTTAAAGGCATTATGGTTGCAAAGAAAGCACCTTCAAGAAAAGTTTTTTAAAGTATGATAAGAAAATCATTACAATAGTGGTAGATTAAATATAAATTTAGGATCCATTTTCTTCTGGAATTGGAAAAGACATTTATATAGCTAAAAATATTATGCAAAGATCCTTCATCTAGATCACCTATATTCTCACTATGCCCTAAAATCAAGCCATCAATCCTTTATTTATACATTATTCATTCATATATAAAAGTAGAAGTTTAGAAGAATTTTACTTTAAAAGTAGCAGCTAAGGATCATGGTTATAACTTGAGTTTATTTTCTTGCTTTTGATTATTTTATTTATCCTTTTTTCTTTTATTTCATTTTTCTCTAGTCTATTCATTTTGTCATGACAACAGAGCAAGATAAAGGGATGCCATTGTTACTACTCATGACACTACTTTTCATTGGTTTATGCACAAAGAAAATGGGGTGTGATTTAAAGCTTGATTTCACTCCCATAACAAGTTTTTGGAAGAAGTAACTATCTAAAGCATAGGTAACATCTAGGCAAAAACTTGTTTTGAGCTGCACTTAGTTAAAATGGGGTTTTCAAAATTCAATACGATATTTTAACATATGAAAGTAGATTAACTCTATGATTTTCATGCCAGAAGTGCTGCTAAAGTTTGGCAATCTCTCACATAAAGACAAACTAGCTAGCTCAATTTAACAAAGTCACAAAGTTTGTGAATTGTCACATGCTTCCTAATAAGGGTGTTCAAAAGTCTATCAATCATGTCTTGAATCATGGAAGTCATTTGATCCAAATTGGAGCAAGGGATATGCTTATATCCACTCTTCAGAAAGTGGCAAATCTTTTGCTTATAGGCTTGTTTGTGTTTTGGAAAGGAGCTCACAAATTGGTGCTAAAGTATGTGACTTTTGTGATATTAGCTGATTGTCAACCTCACTCCTAAATATCAATACACACAATAGAACCTATTATCTTAGGAGAATTGTCCAAATACAGATCAAGTCAAGAAAAATTATTCAAACTACTAACAAAGGGGAAATACTTTTGCAGAAGCTAGTGCTGATGCTAGTAGTCCAAATTTAGATGTCAAAGGTAATGTATACAAAAGTGCTGACAATAATGCTTGTGGTTTTAAACCACAATAGAACAAACATAATGGTTCAAGGCTCTCAATAGAACCAATTCATCTGTTTACCTTTATAATTAGCTTCCAACTTGTGTTGTTAATGGAGTCGTGCTAGAGGATTGCTGGTTCACATGTCTGAGTTTTTGGTTGCCTCAGTTATACTCATATATCAATTGAAGTTCATCAACATAAGCTTCAAAATAAAGCACAATAAGTATTGCATATTATTAATATAAAAGTATTATCTCTCAAAAAATTAAAATTTTGATAAGTTAAAATTTATATAACATTTATATGGGTTGCTATGCAAAATGAATAAATATGCACATCATAACATCAAATTTATCTAAGTCAAAATAGATTCCAAACAACACAAATCACTAAGACTACCAAGGATTTTTTATCATATTTCTCATCCAACTCATATTCATGAGTTTATGGATATTTATAAGCAACTTAAACAAGATATACATCCTTCATTCAACATATCTATCCAAATTAAATTAAAGAATTTGATTATGATCAATCATTTCTACATAGTACTTTAGATTCTGTCTCAGATTCAGATACTACCAAAGAACACTACTATTGAAGTCCTAAAACCACCAAAGAATCTTAGGTGACAGCCTTCTCAAAAGTTTGACATCTATTACTTATATTATGTGGTTGTAAACTTTGCAATGGTATCACACTTATTTGGGAGTGTGTTCTATAGATTAGAATTTTCTTAGATCTTTGGTGATATAAATGTATAAAGCTGGTTTTGTGATGAAAGAATACCCTCAAAAATAAGGCATTGATTATACAGAGTACAGAGATATACTACAATACACCGAGACATGGGAGAGCAAGATGTTTTAGAGCTGTTCAAGCTTTTGTTCAAAGAAATGCTGAACAAAATGCTAGCAAGTATTAATAAAAGTTTTCAAAAGTTTAAATTTAAGCCAAAAAGGTTTTAAGCTATGTTGGCCAAGAGTTTTATAGGCAAAAAACTCAAAAGAAGCCATCCAACACCCAGATTTCTAGCACCTCATCGTGCTCAACATTCCTTGTGCCCATTCCCAGTGTGTTGCTATCTGCTATCAACATTATATAAAAGACACATACTTGAAGCAACATGTAAAACACCAAAAACTGCAAAGTTTACTTACCAGTAGAGACACATAATCATGATCCTTAGTGTGCCTAAGTGGCTTCTTACACCATTTTGTTTTGTATAAAAGAATTCATGGCTGGGACGGTCTCTTAGCTGACCCAGAGGTGTTTGCACAAAATCAGAAGCTCAAAGTCATCCACTACTAGTAAAATGAATGCTTTCAATTATGCTCACCTTGCCATGGAAATATGGCTACCACCATGAGAGCCAACTTCTCGCATGTTAAAACCAGGTACAAAACCTAAAAATTGAATTGATTTTGCATCCTTTGCAAGAACCAAGAAATCTTACCTATTCCTAGCTGAGCAGAAAGTTCTTATATAGTGTCTGAGAGATGCAAGCATGCTCTCCAGTTCTATAACCCCCAGGTGAAGCAGATGCCTTTAGGCTGCGCCCAAGAATACGCTAGTAGTGAATGGTGAATGGTGATGGATTTTTCAGTCGTTTTTGGATTGATTATATGCTGTGGTTCACAGGTAAATTTAGTGCTAAGTGTGATACATTAATTTGCATCTCTTCCTAGAGCTGGATGAAATTCTGGAAACATGATAAATTACCCCAATTTGTGGTTAGAACAAATTCCATGACCACTACCCAGCCATGTCCAAACACCAGTATTCACAAGAAGCGTCAACCATCCAGCAATGAAAGTCACCACGGTTGTAAACTCTAAACCTAAGGGCTTAGAGAAAAATCTGAAATTCAATCCCCTTGGGATTGCTTGCTAATGTAAATATACATCATATCAAGTTGTATGAAAGAGCCCTTTTGCACTAAAAACCAACAAGCATTTTGTTCATCACTGGATTTGTAATACCTAATTTAGCAGATGTTGCAAAATTCCATAGTACTTTTTTTCTAGTCTTCAAATTCCCTAACCCAACTGGTGTGTGCCTCTTGGCACAGAATCTATATGCCAGGGAGTCATAAGGAGAATTTGGATCCTGGCAGCCCATGGGCACAGATTGGACACAATTATTGATTGCGCACTGAGAATCAAGGGAGGATTAGGTTCCATTGTGAATTGCCTTTTGTTGCATTTCTCTCCTTTTTCACACCAGTTAGCCAAGTTATGCCAACCTCTGATTGGCCAGTGCTAACATCCATAAAAAATTTACAAAACGCTGTGGGAGTCTATAAACCAAAACAAAATTGTTTTAGAAAACCATAAATAAGAATATCTTTAGAATATTCTCAACCTGTGCAAGCCAACAATATTGTATCCAGCTCGAATTGGCAGCTTTTTGGTTGAGTGAATATATCTTGTGACCCTTGTCAGCTATTTGTTGTGATTGGACCAGCTCTTTTTCTGGACAGTGCTAGAGAATCCTGGAGCTTGATCTACAGTGTAACTTTTTACGTGCTTTGCTGAGATGAATGGGATGACAGGCACACGACAGCGGTAAAAAAAAACAAACACCAAACTTGGATGCGATCTGATTGATCTCTTCTGACCTGATTGATCAGATCTCCTCCTTCTGGAAGCGCAGCCTTCCACACAAATCACTTGTTTTAAGAAAGAATAGAAATTTTCACGAACCTCGAGGAGAATATTAATGTAACCGACCGACCCATTCAACGAAACTATGTACAGATTGGAGAGATCGTTTGGCTTTCGGTAAACGGTAAAGCAGAGGCTTCGATCGATCCAGCTTTGCCGTGAAGAGATTCACCAAATTCCAGCGATCGATCGATCGATCACACCAGCGTGAACGAGACCCTTCCCTGGAATCCCATCCCCACTTATTTCCCCGCGAGCTACCAGTCACGGGCTGGCGAAGCTCGAGTGCCCAGATCCAAATTCTCTCCAGAAATGCTGGCCAAAGCCTTGAATGGAAGGCGGTGGAGGCAGCGGCGAAGAACTAGGCGATAGATGTGGCGGCGATGATGGCATGCTTGCGGCGGCTGGAATTCTCGAAGTGGAGCTCTCCGACTCCCCTCTCAACACAAGCTTGCGCTGAGGAGAGCATCGATTCTTGGCCTTCTTCTTCTTTCCCTTCCAGGACCTAGAGATCTTGGCGGCGATGGTGGAGGGGACCTTGACGACGAGCAGCGCAACGACGTGAAAGAGCGTGAGAGGGCAGCAGCACAGCGCTGTGCAATCCGCGGCGCATCCAGCGACGCATCGGCCCACATTACTGTGCTCGGCATCATCCCCATCGATTTCCCCCAAAATATCCTTCTTGCTCTTCCTGTTCGTCGCGTTCTTCCCCCTCCTCCTCTCGCCGCAATCCCTCTCACCTTCGAACGACCAGGAGGAGCTGACGACGGAGCCGCGGCGGCGCAGATCGGCCGTGTCGAGATCATCCGCCGAGGACGATCCGTGCGACGATCTGGCGCTGAGGCTGATGCTGCTACCCTCCGATTCTGTGGATTCCTGGATCAGCTTCTCCAGCGACGACGACGATGCCGAATCCGAGAAGAGAGTCCTCCGCCTGTGCTCCGCCGCCGCGGCCATGACGGGAGCTTCGATCTCGCCACGCTAAAAACAAAGAAGAGAATATACCGAAAATACGAGTGTCATCTAGGAAATTAATAGACGCCCTCTGGAGATGCCGGGTATCGATCCCGGTACCTCTCGCATGCTAAGCGAGCGCTCTACCATCTGAGCTACGTCCCCTTAACATAAAACCTTGTTAATGCGAAAGATTCTAGAAGATACCGGAAGAAACCTGAAGATTCCGAAAGAAATCTATTTAGGGCTCTGTTACTAGGTCTGGTGCTATGGCGGATCGAGGGAAGAGCGAGGAGGAAGACGCTGTGCCGGTGAATGCGATGAAGGTATCTGGGCAGCCGGATTGGCCGGGTCTCCTCAAGTGGAGCTTGTCGCGCAGCGATCCCGGCAACCAGTCGCAAGATCCGAAGAAGGAGCTCAGGTATGGCAGCGATGAAATTTGCTCTTCCTACTGCTGTCTGGATGTTCTTAATTTTCTGGCTATTGCAGTGAGGAGGATAGGAAATGGTTCATGGAAGCGATGCAAGCAAACAGTGTGGATATTGTGAAACGTATGAAGGAGATAAGTCTCGTCTTGCAAACTCCTCGCCAGGTTTTAGAGGAGCAAGGAGTCTCGTCTCAAGACATTGAAGGTTAGTTCTTTGCCTTCTCGGATTTTCTACGCACGAAAAACTTATCGCTTTTTTCTCTTTGATTTTGAAGGTGTGCTCGAGGAGCTTCAGGATCACGTAGAATCTATCGACATGGCAAACGGTAAGCAGTTTTCCACGACCATTTGATTTTGTACCAAGAGTTGAATTGAATAGACCTGAAGGCCGTGGGAGGATTAAATCCTCTGATCGGGCTTCTGCAAGACCAGTACGCTCCGATTCGTGCAAGAGCTGCCGAGGTTCTGAGCACGGTGGTGCAAAACAATCCAAAGAGCCAGAACGACGTGATGGAGCACAAAGGGATGGAGGCGTTGCTCAACACCTTCAGCTCCGATCCTGACGTAAATGTGCGTGCCAAAGCACTGGGAGCGATTTCTTGTGAGTTTTTTGTTTGTCTAAGTTTGAACCGGAGCTCATATTGCGGGGTTTATGCAGCTCTAATTCGAAATAACAAACTTGGTACCAACGCGTTTCGTCTGGCAAACGGATTTGGCCAGCTCAAGGAAGCTCTGTCGTCGGATCATTCCCGGTTGCAAAGGTAAAACTTTTTAGCTGATATACATTCTCACGTCACTAATGCGTGTTGTTTCAGGAAAGCATTGCAAGTCATGCACTACTTGCTTCAAGACAATCCCAAAGACAACGTCACGGCAGCAGAGCTGGGTTTTCCACCCCTCTTGACGAAGCTAGCACGCAGCAACGACGCGGATATCAGAGAGGAGGCCTTGCAAGCCATGGTGGACGTGTCTCACAACGACAAAGCGTCGTCACTGTCGTGGGGAAGCGACCACAAGGGCTTGAAGGATTTCCTCAATGAGCGTATGAGCAGCCTGCAGGACATGAAACCGGAGGATCTGGCCCCGATGAGAGACGAAGGCGTCTTGCTGGACACGCTTTGGAGAGATTGCTTTGGCCAGCCGTCCGTCTTGAGGCAGAAAGGACTTCTATCTCTTCCAGGCGATGACGAGCCGCCGCCAGACGTTGCAGGGGCGATGTTCCAGCCGAGCTTACGAAACCTCGCCGCTCAGCAATCCGAGGAGAAAAAAGAGCCGGAGCCACCTCTACTGCTCAAGCTCTAGTCTTTCTCCTCCGTACAGGTATGAGTTTGAATGACTGGGTTATTGTTTCTGAAAGTCTTGATAAACATCAGGTGCTGGGAGATAGAAAAGCAACTTTTCTCCCGACACGACTTTTGGAGCGGTCGTCTGCATGGAATGGTTCAGGTCGACTGGAGCCTAGAGTCTCATGATCATAAACTAAGGTACATTCGAGTCAGACGACTTTTCTTTTGCTGTAGTCTTCCGCTTTTTTCAATGAACAGAGGTCTAGAAGCAGGCCAAGTATTTGTTTGACGGCGAGAAAAACGCGATGTCGTTGACAAACTCAAAAGAGGCATTGTCAGGAAAAAAAATATCCCCGTCAAGTGAGCATCGAAAAAAGTCAAAGCATAGCCTCGACAAAGAGTTGAACCTGGCGAGTTCCTTTCACACGTAGTCAAACGCAGTAATATGGTGGGATGTATAATAACTCATGTTAACTAGTTGAGAAACCATGGAAATGGCTTTGTACGGATGGGCGTGTGAGAGACGAGGACACCGGTTCGGCATGGACTAGCGAAGTTTTGAAGCAGATGGAAGTCTTAGCGGATTGTCAGCAGAGTAAGTGTCGTGTAAGTCTGAGTTCATGGCCAGCGATATTGGCAGCAACCTCTTTCTCAACGAGCCATTTGACAACGAAGAGTTCACTTCCTGGCTATCCGTAGCTATAACTCCAAAGAACTAGGCATCAACGATCTCATATTCTACACTGGTCGAGTTTGTTCGCTATGGAAAGGTAATGTATATTACAGACATGACACCGTTTTTTTTATGATTTTGTTGAGCGTGTGAGGTTCACGCTGTTGAGAAGGTTCTGGACTGCTCCCTCCTGACACGAGCAACAAGACTTTTCTGGAGAATCGCCCACGGATCTTGATGGCCGAAAAGCGGAGCCAAGCTGGCCGTGAGAAAGACATACAGGAGTCAATTGATGAGAACTTCTAGAGATGGAGTCGGGTTGTCAGTTGAACTCGCCTCTCAACGCTTGGCTGGCGGAAGGCCTTGTTCGAGAGTACATTCGTCTGAAGACAGTTCCTGACTTGGAAATTTGATACTTTCAACCAGAAAGGCTTGGAAGGGGTAGCATCGGAGTTATCAGTTGGCCGAGTCACTGCAATTAGTGTTGAATCCCTTGGCTTCCACCCCGTGCTGATGAGTCTTTCAGGTTGGAATGTGAAGAAAGTCATGGATTCATACAAAAGAATGGTCCCGTCCATCCTGTACCACAAGGAGTCGAAACTTCACGTAACATCTGACATAGAAGAACATTGATAATTGTCTAGCCTTCATTGATACACTCGTTACTCGGAAGCCTTCCCAATTGTACTGGTAAGAAAAATAATAACAAAATTTATTATTAAATTTTAAATCTTCTCATATTATAGTTGCCATCGAACGAAACTGTTCCAAACTCCATGCGCACTGAGACAACGAGTTGCAAGGAAGCAAGTGAACAAAGACAAGCTTATAGAGAAGATAATTTCTAGCAATCTGATGGATTATCCAGTAATGCATCAGACAAAAGACTCAGGAATAACAGATGTGTCAATGAAGGCTAAACACTCAGGTTGATGTTCCTTGCAATCAGATAGTTGCAGGATATGCCATTGAAGCAAGTTCAGCCAGTCGAGCCACCTGGGATGTGATTGATGAGACCCGGCCTTGCCTTTACGTTGTCACCAACACTGAAGGAGCCAACCTGGGAAATGAATATATGACATTGAAGACATTTGCAGACGTTGACAACTCCTTGTGGTACAGGATGAATGGGACCATTTCTTCATCGTCACTCCCTTCCACAAGTTCTATGAATCCATGACTTCTTCACATTCCAACTTAAAACGCTTATCTGGATGTCAAGGGATTTCTTGTTGGCAGTCATAATGATGATCACCACTACTTGCAATGACGAAGCACACTCCCTTTCTCAAAAGGTCAATTGACACCTCCTCCAATGCTACACATTCCAAGCCTTGTAAATTTAGAAAGTATCAAATCTCCATGTAAGGCATATTCAGGAGCTTTGTCTCTTCCACTTTTTTGATATAGCCCGTCAGTTTGCTTTGTTTTTTCTTGTCTTTGCATGGTATTAGAGATAGGTTAGTTCTCACTTATTGCCCACCTTGTCCTTGGAAGTGTTTGATGGAAAGGATTTCCAGTCATGGAAAGTCTTGAAAAAGGATCTTTGGGGAGTGATCTAGAGCGATCTCAAGCCAGGAGACGATGATGCAAATCAGAAAAAGGAGTGAGAGGTGAAGAATAGCAAGGTGTTGGGGGTTCTAGGACAAGGTACTGAAGCTATTTGGATATCAACAGAATGGCGAAAGAGAATTGAGATGCTGTATGCTTGATCCTTGGCACGACCAGGAAAGCAAGATTGCTGGATCTCAAACTCCAGCTCAACAGCTGTAAGTAGAGCGAGGCAGAATCAGTGAGTCATTTTGCCAGTGCGCTTGTGGATAGATCGATGCAATCCAGATGAAGGAGTTTGATGATGATGAGATGCTCACAACCTTTTTCCAGGGATTGAATGGATCGATGCAGCTGGCAATGTCACATCAAGTTCCAGCAACACTTTTATAGAAGTCATAGTATATCTCACTGCGTTGGAGGGCTTTCTCAAGTCTAGGCAAGCAAGCTCAAAGGAGAAAGAGTTAGCACTCTTTGCTTGGAAGGGGAAACAATCAATTATAGTGTGGGACAGATTAGGACCAAGACATGACTAAGGCGAGAGCAGTAAGAAGTTCAAGAAGAAGAAAAAGAACAATCTATGCAACATTTGCAAAGCCAGGACATGCACAGATGAGGAAGCCAAGAGAGCAAAGGAGGCAAGAAAAGCCGAGGTATAGAGAGTGGCCGGTAGGAGAAAGTCTGCCAACTTTGCTAGCATGGCAAAGGAGGATGACTGGGAAGGCAAGGGCAACTTCTTCATGGCCACAAGCACCTGGCCACTAGCTTCCAGGACGAGGCAGAGGTCATATGGCTTGATTTAGGGGCAAACATGATACACCTCTTTACATCACTTAGATCAGTTCTAGGAAACAAAAGGATTTTTCTAGGGGATGATTACTCACACAAGGTAGAAGGAGTTAGCACGGTTGACATCACAATCTACCCTGATGGAAGCTTGAGTGTACACAATGTTTACTATGTTCTTAGGGTAAATAAGACACTATTTTCAGTGGGAAAATAGTAGATTGTGATTTGGACATTATTTTCAAGAAGTAGATATGCATGATTGCAGGCTCAATAAGCACTGCAATTGTGTGTTGTATCATCTGAATGCTAAAGTGATATAGCTAGAGTGAGCTTTTTTTGTAGGACCAAGGAAAGTAGTGGATTTCCAAATATGGCATAGACAGGAACTCCATGCAAAAGAGATGGTGAAGGTTGCTATTACTTATGTTAAGGAGATTTTAACAAGTTGTTTTTTGTCACCTTCATTGACAATTAATTATCCATCTGTACTAGAGTCTTATAGTGGATACCTTTGTTTGTGGATGTTTCACATAAGAGGAAGGACATATGCATGAATGCCTAATACATATAATTTCAAATTTAAGAGTAGAAATATATTTTACTCAAGGGTATATTATATTTTTAAATATCAATGGGAATTAAACCCCTTATGCCACATGTAACACATCCTATTTCTCTCCCCTTAAAGCCAACTGGAAAAAGAGCAATTATTTGATGAGAAAGCTCTTAATGGCTATTTTTATTCCCATTTATCCCTTAAAGTTCCAAAGATTTATGATGACAATATATCCAAATTTCATCCCATGATTACATACACTACAACTTCTCACACATTATCAAGTCTTTCAGAAGTTCCAATACTTCAAAACCCAAAAACTAGAAAGAAATTCAAGGCCTTTAGGAGTGAGTCCACTTCACTAGAATTTGCTAAGTCTTATGATTCAATAAGAATCCAAAGGTAGTTCTCCATCCTATATCCACAATAGCAGAATAGTGTATCAAAGAAGACACTCCATGATGCAATAAGAGCTCTCTTACAAGACTCAAGTTTGCCGCAAACTTTTTACTATTACCATAGTAACTTACTTATTGTAAACTTCTGAGTTTAGACTTTCTGGGAGGTCACCCAGCCCAGTACTATTTAAACCCAAAGACGCTTAACTCCAACTATCCCAAGACCCTTAACCGATTGGAAAAGGAGGTGCACTCTTGTTCATAGGCCCTTTCCCTCTATATTTGAACCCTATGGACCGTCTTAAACCCAAGGACGCTTAACTCCAACTATCCCAAGACCCTTAACCGATTGGAAAAGGGGGTGCACTCTTGTTCATAGGCCCTTTCCCTCTATATTTGAACCCTATGGACCGTCTTTCAAGTCGTTCTCTTTGGTTTCTTACAATCCACCACGCTTCCCTGCAAGTTCACGCCCTCGTGAACGGAAGCTGAGAGCCGCAACTCTCCCAAGAGCCCCGCTCTCTTGACACCCTAGTCGAGCCCAGTGGGAGCAAATTAGACCAGCCAGATGTCAATCAACATGTGGTGTGATTCCCTTAACCAACCAACAGAGTCAGACCTGAGACCACTCAGATACCAAATGTAAGCTCCTGAGTTTAGACTTCCCGGAAGGTCACCCAACCCAGTACTATTCAAACCTAAGGACGCTTAACTCCAACTATCCCAAGACCCTTAACCGATTGGAAAAGGGGGTGCACTCTTGTTCATGGGCCCTTTCCCTCTATATTTGAACCCTATGTACTGTCTCTCAAGTCGTTCTCTTTAGTTAGTTACACTTATATATCTACTAGCTTACCTCAACAGTGTCAAAGAAGACACCAAATGAGGTTTAGTATGGGATAAACTTGCAAGCACAAGTTAAAAGTGTGTGTTCTTGTTGGATACACAAACACAATGAAGAGCTACAAGCTCTTCAATTTAGAAATTCAAAAAATGATTATGAGTAAAGACATTATCTTTGATGAGTTTAGGACATATGCACATTGCCATAGTTTTTTCTAACTTGTGATCATGCAACTTTATAGGCCACCCTTTTTTAAATCAGCACCTTTAACTAAAGCCTTTGTCCCCTCAACTTGCCAATTTTGCATAACAAGTCATTTGACTAGCGAGCAGTGTAATATAGTTTTATACATAAGCATGAAAGTCCTTAATTAGGGCACACACAATCTAATTAGCCTAAAAACCTTAGATGATATGGCAACCAAGTGGCAACAAGGATGGTGTGGATGGCCCTAGAGTGTTAGGACAGCAAACCTATTAGGAGGCAAAGCTGTAGTAGGACCAAGGCCGTGAGCATGCTGTTAGCAAGACTAGGGCTGAAATTAGTGAGGACAGTTGAGATGTTCTGGCCATGAGCACACACTCACAAAGGCTGGATGTGAATATAGGGAGCTGAATTTACAAATAGCTAAGTGGGATTCTCTATAAGAAGCCAAGACTACTAGAGACATATCAGTGACATTGC